TATCCTCACAACATTTCTGCAAATCTTTTTTTTTTTTTTTTTTTTTTGAGACGGAGTCTCACTCTGTCTCCCAGGCTGGAGTGCAGTGGCATGATCTCAGCTCACTGCAAGCTCCGCCTCCCAGGTTCACGCCATTCTCCTGCCTCAGCCTCCCGAGTAGCTGGGACTACAGGCGCCCACCACCACGCCCAGCTAATTTTTTGAAGTTTTTTAGTAAAGACAGGGTTTCACCGTGTTAGCCAGGATGGTCTCCATCTCCTGACCTCGTGATCCGCCCGCCTCGGCCTTCCAAAGCTCTGGGATTACAGGCGTGAGCCACCACGCCCGGCCATTTCTGTAAATCTTACTGAGCTCAAGCAATTCTCCCACCTTGGCCTCCTGAGTAGCTGGGACTACAGGCACATGCCACCATGCTGGCAATTTTTATTTATTTATTTTAAGAAATGTGCTCTTAATACAAAAATTAGCCAGGCATGGTGGTGCACTTGTAGTTCCAGCTACTCGGGAAGCTTAGGTGGGAGAATCGCTTGAACCCAGGAAGGGAAGATAGCAGTGACCCGAGATCACACCACTGCACTCAAGCCTGGGTGACAGAGCGAGACCCTATCTCCTTTTTTTTTTTTTTTTGATGGTAGCCCCCTACCCTGATGCCCAGAGCTCAGCTCTGTGGTGGCAGCTCCCGTACCTGTCCTCCATGTCCCTGCCTGAGCCCCCAGCTGCCTGTCCTGGACAGCCCAGGCCCTGGGATAGTGCTGCAGAATGAGGTTGTCAGCAGGGGTTTGGTGGAGGCCCTCAGGAGGAGAGGGGAGGGGTGCTGGCCTCCAGGGAGCCAGGCCCGGGATTTGTAGACTATGTGCACACAAATCCAAGAGATCTCACCCCAAAGCTACACCTCCAGGGTGCCCAGAATGAGGATTGGTGGGGAGGGGCTTCAGCTTGGTCAAAGAGCTGGAAGCACCCTTGGGCTTCAAAGTCTGGGAGGAGGGAGCTGCTGGGGTTAGTAATGTATGTCAGGGAGAGGTAGGGGGGTGGCCACAGGAGGCCAGGAGCCAGGACGCTGCCTGGCCCAGGTCTCGGAGTAGTAAGGCAGGGTCAGCCCCAGGGAAGGCTGTGGGAAGTAGAGGAGGATGTGGGCATTGGTAGAGGGCCGGGGGCTCACAGGGTTCTCATACTGGGGACCAGGGTCTCATGGGGGCTCGCTACTAGGCCAGGGTGTAAAAGGGGGCCTCATAGTGGGGACGGTCTCACCCTGGTGCCATCAGGGACTCACAGGAAGGGCTTCAAAGGGTGTGCGGCAAGAGCCAAGGGGCTCACCATGGGGGCTAACAGTGGGGGCCACCTCTGGGAAGGGTTTCAGGGCAAGCAGGCCCAAGTCGAGGCCACCTGTCTGCAAACCTGGCTGGGCCAGCTCTGACCAGTGTCCTGGTGTCCTGGCACCTCAGGACACCAGTCAGAGCCGGACCTCCTCCCCCATCAACCTCCTGCTCATCCTGGGTCTGAATGAGGGTCCTGGGACACAGAGGAACAAGCCCCGCCCTGCCAGGTCTGTAGCACAGGGTCAGGGGCCCAGGTATTTCATTCCATCTGCAGACCCTCCCAGGGCAGGCCACGAAGCACGGGTGTTTTCTGCAGTTTAGGGCAGCCACCAGACAGGTACCCACGCACACAGTTCACCAGGTGGGACCCTGGGGCAGGCTCCTCCCCTCCCTGAAAATGATGGGACCCCAGCGCATGGCAGGCACTGTGCTGTCGATTGTCCTCTCAGTCCAAAGCAGATTCCCAGTCCCACTTCCCTGGGGCTCCTGCAGGCACAGTCCCCTCCTACCCCTGCACTCCACTGCGGGGCCCTGTGTGGGGACGGTCCTCACTCAGGGGGGGTACAGCGCTCACCCACCCTCAGGCCTCAATTTCTCCTCACCCCCAACAGGCCGTAGCCCCCTACCCTGATGCCCAGAGCTCAGCTCTGTGGTGGCAGCTCCCGTACCTGTCCTCCATGTCCCTGCCTGAGCCCCCAGCTGCCTGTCCTGGACAGCCCAGGCCCTGGGATGGTCAGCCCCAAGTGCACCCTCAGTCATGCTCCTCTGGATGCCCTGGTCCAGAGGGAGGTGCAGAGCTCGGCCCCCCAGGACCCAAGCCCCAGGCCTGGAACCCTCCCTCCACACCCACTCTGCCCCAGCAGCTCCGTGGCCGGCCTCACTGTCCTGCCTGTGCAGCTTGTAGGCCCACTGGCTGTGGGCACCAGCCATCCTCATGCATCCTTCACATGTACACACAGTGCACGCTCCTCCCTCCAACCCTCCACACATAAGCAGTGCACACTCCCACATGTACACTGCTGCCCGAGCTCAACATAGAGCTGGGCTCACACACTCACTCTCACACATAGCCATGAACCCTCCCTATTCAGACTCAGCCTCACCACACGCCTCCTTCAGGGAGTTCCCCCCAGGCCCAGGAACGCAAGGTGCCCCCACCAAGACCCCAAGTGCCTGCCCACATCATGGCTCCCCTCACATGGCCTGCCACAGCTCCTAAACTGACCAGATCCCCAGGAGCCCAAGAGCACGGGTATGGTGCTCAGGAATGCCAGGGGAGTGAGGGAACACTGAGGAACATGGTGTGGGGGTATGAGTCTGTGGGGTCCCCAGCCCCTGCCAGGGCCGTGCACAGGTGCAGCTGGTGAGGCAACATCCAGGCTGGTGCCTCCTCCCCCATGGAGCCCTCTTCCCCCTCGGGTTGTTGGCAATTGACACTGTCAATGTGTGGGCCCTCCTGCAGCCCGTTCTCGAGTCCCCTCCCTCGGGGTCCCAAGCAGGTACAGAGCTGTCAGGCCCAGAAGTGAGGGGCTGTTCCTCCCCTGGAGGTGGACCAAGGGGTCAAGTTAGGCCTGGGTCAGGCTGGGAGTGTGTCATCACTGCAGTTTGGACAGCTCCCCCCGGCCAGCCTCCTGGGCTGTTGCAGGCCTGGAGCTGACCACACATCCTCCAGAAATGGAGCCCTGGGGGGTATGCATGGTGGGAGTGAGGGGGTGATGCTTACCCCAGCCTCCTAAGCCTGTCCCTGCTCTCCACCTGCTCCCCTCAGGGTCCACGAACCCGTCTCTTCCCTCCTGAATGCCCAGCAGCCAGGAATCCTGGGCTCACTGCCATCCAGCTCAGGGATGGGGGCCCCCATGCCTGGGCTGTGGCCTCCCTGTGCATCAGCCCTGGGGTGCTCCACCCTCCCCGCAGGATGCGGGCCTCCCACTCCTCAGCCATGCTGCCCCTTCCTTGCACTGAGGGCCTGCTCCAGCACCCCAGGGGGGGCCTCCACCCAGTTAATCACAGCACTGACGAGCACTGGGGATGGCTCCTTGACCACAGGGTCTGCTGCGCTTCAGGCCTAGGCTGGGCTCCAGTGCAAGCTTATTGGCTTGTGGTCTTCTATGAAGGAGACTGAGCAGGGCCCCAGGTCTGTCTGTGCAAGGGGCAGGCCAGCCCCCTCATGTCCAGGTGGCCGCTGAGGGTAGGAGAGTGGGCCTGGACACAATGCAGCTGGCTGGTGTTTCAGAGGCCAGCCCTACCGCTGCCTGAGGGGCCCCAGCTGCTGGGGGAGGTACTGAAGGCAGCCCCCTCCCACTTGCCAGCTGTCCCAGAGCAGACCCCGCAAGTTGGTGCCCATCCTGCTGTGAAGGCAGCTGGGCCTGAAGGACACAGACACGGAGCCGGGGGCCACCCCACCATCTGCGTGGAGCAGCGGAGCCCAAGAGAGGGTGGCAGGCGCAAGGAGTGCACCCTCCTGGGGCTGGTCCTCAGGAAGCCCTCCCTCCTTCAGGGACTCAAGGTCAGGAGCACAGGATGAGGCTGTCTCCTGGGGCAACAGCCCCCAGCCCCATGAGGTACATACATGGACCCCAGCACCCTACCTTTTCCAGGCCAGAAAATTCCAGTCTCCCTCAGACCCCTTCCACCTGCTTGGATGCTGGTCCTCCCCGAGGGTGTGTGGCCGAGCCAGGGCCACCTCTCGCCACCAAGCACAATGGGGGCTGGAGGAGGGGCCCTCAAGGGCCCCATTGTTCCCCCCTCAGCCTCAGGGTCTGAATCCCTGATTGTCCTGGGGGGCAGGGCAGCGGGCAGGGCTTTCCAGGCCCAAGCAGGTCAGAGGCCAGCCCCAGCCTCCGAAGCTCAGTCCACCTGTCCTGGAGCAAGCCTCTGGGGGCTGCCCGGGCCCTCCCCTGCCCTCCTCTCCCCTCCCCTCCCCTCCCCTGCCCTGCCCAGCCGCCTGGGCGGCTCTGGACTGTATCCTCCGGAGGCCCCAGTCTGGGCTCTGGGCGGGGACTCTGCTCCCCGCCCCCATTTCCGGCCGGGCGCCCTGCCTGCCTCCCTCTCTCCCACCCATCTGTCTGCACCCCACCCCAGAAGCACCTCACCTAGGATCAGAACAGGGCTGGGGCTGACCCTAGGGGTGGCCGGCAGCACCACCCTGTGCCGCCTTAGACAGGCAGGCTGGGGGAGCACAGGGGAAGGAGGGAGGTGGCCTGACCACAGGCTCCCCACACACAACACATAGCCCCTAGGGCCGCGAGGGGAGGGGCACCTCCCTCAAGGAATCCCCCATGCCTTGAGGTCTAGAACCTCCAGCTGTCAGAGCTCAGGGGCCTCTCCTGGAAGCTCTGGCCCATGCCAGATCCATAGGAGCTTGGGCACCAAGAGGCAGCCCTCAGGGCCCACCCCTGCAGCCTCAGGCTGCCCGGTGCAGCCGCTGCCTGCTCTCCACTTGCTGGCCCACCAGGCGGGTTGAGACCAGCCTTGCCACCTTCCCTGGCTGCCAGTCAAGCATGATGCTGCCTTGGGGTGGCAGCCAGGAGCCGACAGGCAGCAGATGCCTAGGCAAAGGCCACCTGGTGGTCCTCCTTGGGGCTGGTGGTTAGGGTGGGCTGCTGGAGCTCGGGGCCTGATCAGGATGGGGCCCGATCAGGATGGGGCTCCACCAACCTCGGGGCCACGTTCCACTCATTTATGGACTTTCTAATCCAACAGTTATTTTATTAGGATATCAGCCCCGGGTCCAGCATGAGAGATAGGGACAGGGGACAGCCCAGTGGGGCTGGGTTGGGGGTCACCCCAGGATGTTCCAACCACAGGGGCAGCATCCCCTCCACTCCATGTGCTGGCCAAGGGCACAGAGCTGCCGTTATCACCTGCCAAGGGGGTGGCTCAGTGCTGCTGCCCTGGTCCTGTATGGGCCTGGGGTGCCGAGAACAGAGAGCAAGCCTCAGGCGCCGGTCCTTTGAGCTTTCTTGATTTCCTGCCAGTGAGGAAGAAAGAGAGTTGGGAGGGCTGGTATCCAGGAAGGGCTGGGCTTCCTGCTCTCCCTCCACAGTGGACCTTGGTGTCTCATGCCAGTGCTTGGGTAAGACTGTCCCATCTGACCTCAGTGGCTTCCTGGACAACAAAGGCCTGGCCCCAAGGCCTCCCCTTGGGCCTTGCCCAGGTAGGCACAAGAATGGGCCCACCTCAGAGAGCGCCTCCTTCAGCTCCGCGTAGGCCTGGTCCAGACTGTCGTTGATGATGACCACATCAAAAAGGCCGGGCTCCTTGCCTGTGGGTGGGGCCTGGGGTCAGGGCACAGTGAGCCCATGCAGCCCCACCCCAAGTCCCACACGACCCCCAGAACAGCCCACTGGCTTGCGGCTGTCCTCGCTGTGGCTGTGTGACAGCTTTCCAGCCCAGCTGGGCCTGTGCAGGGTAGGGAAGGGCCGCCCCCTGGGATTCAGTCCTCAGGTACCCCTCCTGCTCTCTCTGGAGCCCCAAACCTTAGGTCTGGACACCAGCACCCATCAGGACTCTGGTTAGGGGTTGCAGTGTCCTCTATACACACAGCAGAACATTAAATGCCCTCTTCCTGTGGGCTGCAGTCAGACCCAGAGGGGAAGTGACAGCTGTAAGAGGATGTACATGACACCCCCGGGGCTAGAAGGTAGGGGACATCTCATGGGACCCTGGGTGATGGGGGGTCTGGGGGCCCTCACGGAGACTCTAGGTAACAGAAGGAAATCTGAGAACCCTCAATGAGACCCTTGGTGACTGGGGTGAGTTCTGGGGACACTCACGGGGACTCTAGGTGTTGGGAGGTAGTTGGGAGGTCTGAGGACCCTCACAGGGACTCCGGATGTCAGAAGGTCTGGGGACCCACAGGGTCCCTGGTGCCAAAGGTCTCAGAACCCGGACTCCCCTCCTGGCATGCCCTGGTAGTCCCACGGCACACTCACTGCTCTCCATGTCGGCCCGGGCAGCAGCCAGCCGCTTCGCCAGGCTCTCCTCCGTTTCAGTGTTGCGCTGCCGCAGCCGCTGCTCCTAAAAAGGGGGTGGCAGTCAGAGCCTGGCATGCCCTGACCCCCAGCCCCCAACCCTGCCCAGCACACACCAGCACATGCAGTGAGGGCGGCTGCACAGAGATGTAGATGGGCCGCAGATCGGTGGCCTTGATGTTCCGCACACCCTGCAGGTCCACGTCCAGCACGCAGATGCGGTTCATGGCCTGCACGGCCTGCACCGCCGCCTTGCTGGAGGCAGGTGCCAGGTCAGCAGGGGTGCCAGGGCTCTCCGAGGCCTACAGGAGCTTCAGGGACACCCAGGTCCTCCCAGGCCCAGCATTCTCCTCCCACAGCTAAGCCTAGGCCTGGCGTGAACCCAGCACCCCACAGCACCTCAAACCTGCTACCCCCACACCCTGCCCCACCTACAGGGAACACAGACCACCCACTCTCCAAGGTGCCTGTAGTAAGCACGAGGTGTCCTGTGTACCCTTCACCCTGCCAGGACAACGCATGGTGGCAGGACCGGGCCCAGTAGTCTCGTGAAAGAGCCACCACAGGGCCACAGACCTGGGAGCCTGGCCCTGGGCCACAACCTGGCCACATTCATAACCATGGGGCGGGTGGTGTGGATGGCGGGCAGGCAGCAGGCACTACCTGAACCCCTGCCGCCCACAGCAATCCCGGGAGCCCACCCGCACCCACGCGTGGCCCACCTCGTGCCATACAGGTTCCCTGAGAACTCGGCATGCTCAATGAAGTCACCGGCTGCTATGTCACGCTGCATCACCTCCCTGGTTACAAAGTAGTAATCTGGGGAAGAGGAGAGGCAGTCCAGAGGGCAGACTGGACCTGCACCAGGGCTTCCAGGGCCAGCCGCCCCCAACCCAGGCATGCTTGCAGGCCCCTCCTACGCCCACGACTGCTTCGGTCAGATCCTTGCCGGGCAGGAGACGTCTGAGGACCCCTCAAGTGCTGCCAAGTGCTTGAGCCAGACACCATTTCTCACACTGTCCTCACTGATGGAGATACGAGACTGGGTTCCAGCGGGGGAGTTGGGAGTTGGTGGTGGGGGGAGTGGGGACTGGAGATCAACAGGTGCTGGGGGAAGGTGGTGGGGGAACTGGTGACCATCAGGTTACAGAGGGGATGATGTGGTGGGGTGACTGGAGACCACTGGGTTGCACATTACAGGGCAGGGGTGCTGTTGGGAAGGGGGTCCCTTGTCTTGAATCAGTCAGGCAGAGTAGCCCTTTTTACCAGGACCCCAGAAGACAGCTCAAAAGTGCTGATAAGCCCAGGACAGGGCTGGGGACAGCAGCACTGTGGCCGCCTCCAGGGTGGGAGGAAGACAGCCCCAGGCCTTGGCCGGCCTCTCACACTGTACCCAAGGAAGGCGACACCACACTGTGACACTGACACCCTGATTTAGCTCACTGGCTCTTGGAGGCAAGGACCCATCTCACAGATGAGGGATCAATGGGGGCAGGAGATGGGCAGCACAGCGAACACAGCTGTAGGGCCCAGTAGCCCTGCTCACACTGGGGGTGCTCCAGCCACAGGGCCCCACCCCACTCACCTTTGCCATTCTCCTCGCCAGGCCTCGGGTTCCTTGTGGTATCTAGCAGAGAGACCTGTCACCCATCAGGGACTGCTCAGAGCGCACTGCCCCACCCAGCGTTCCCCTTGCAGTCCCGACAACACTTGAGCCCCAGGATGCAGGCAGCCAGTGGAGCACACAGCTGGGAAGGCGCAGGAGTCTACAAGGCAAGGGTTCTCCCACAAAGAGACACTGCAGCCCAGTTATCAGCACTCAACAGACCCAGCGAAGGGAGACACAGGCACGCGGGACAGCAGGAGTGCAATAACCTCAGGTTCTGTGTGGTAGGACGTGGGCAAGAGTGCGGACAGTCTGCAGGGTGAGTGTGCCTGTTGGGTTCAGGCTCCTGGCCTGCTCACAGGCTGCTGGGACTACTCAGCAGCCTTGAGGTCTACGCATCCCCCCGCAAGAGCCCTGGACTCACGGGACACGCTGAAGCCAAAGATGCCGCTGTGCTCCTTGAGCAGCCTCTTCAGCAGGGTGCTCTTCCCAGCTCCCGAAGGCCCACTCAGCACCACAGGCCTGGGGCCTGACATGCCTAGGGGTGAGAGAAGAGGCTGTGGATAGCAGTGTGGCCTCTGGCCCCCACCTGCTGAGCTGCCTCTGCCTTCATGGCAGGAAAGGGCTGACCCAGGGATGGAGACATTGGCCTGAGAGTCTCCTGAGAGCCTGGGTATTCTTCCCCCTGAGCTCTGTCACATTGGAAGGCCCGGCATGCACAGAGTGGCCCTCAGACCAGGATCTGGGCACACGGGAGACAAATGGAAAGCCAGCTGGGTTCTCGGCAGGGGAGCCCCCCACTGAAATCCACCACCACTGAACCCACTGACCCTGTCAGCCTCCCCAGGGGTCCCTGGTAAGCGATGCTGTCTGATCACACCCTACCCGGGAGCTACCGTCCCCACCTGGTGGAGTCACCTCCAAGCCCTCTGGGAGCCTGCCCTGAGACCCCCACCCCACCCAGGAGCCCAGCCATTTGCTCCCATGCATGATGCTGAGTGCTGGGCTGCTAGGTCTGGAATGGAAATGTCCCTGTCCCGCCTCTGTCCTCTGGCACCATACCCTGCAGATATGGCCTTGTCAAGATCTGCTGAATCTATGCCCATTCCAGGAACTTCTCATCGGACTTGGGACTCCTATCTGTGATGCTGGTAATGCCAAGAGGGGGTTGGAGGTCTCCCTCCCAGCCTCCAAGGGGACGGCAAACAGGATCCTAGCTTGGACACTTGTGGCAGGTGAGGGCCTGGGAGCTGGCCTTTGCTTGGTGGGAATCCTCCCCAGGAACAGCGCCTACCTGTTTGCTGGGGTGCAGCCTCTGTGGCCAGCCTGGGGCGGGTCTGTCTGCTGGACTGAGAGCTGAGGGTGCTGAGTCCCTAATCCCCACCACGCCTGCTTCTGGCCCCGCCCTTCTAAGCCAGGAATAAATCCCCAGGGGGCCTGGCCTTCGGCCCTTGCAGGGAAGCAGCCCTGTCCACCTGCTCTGCGGCTGTGCAGGAAGGAAAAGACGGCTCCAGCTCCTGTCCCAAGACCTGCACCTGCCCTGACCTCCCAGCCCACGTGAGCTGCACACAGGGCCAGGGCAGCGTCTTCGAGTTGGGGTGGAGAGCAGAGCTAAGGAGTGGTGCCATGCACTGCAGCTGTGTTCAGGGACCGGGGCAGAGGGAAGTGGACAGACCCCTGGCGACGCGCAAACCTTGGACACAACTCAGGCAAGGCGTGGATGGCCTCCTCCTGTTTGGGGCACAGCCGCCTGTGGGCAGACGAGCAGACAGCGGGAAGGACCTGAGGATGCCCTCCTAATCCCCAATTTAGGCCACCGAGGTAATCTCACAAATGCACCACAGCTGCAACTCCATCATGCACAGGGACACCCACCACACACATGCCACTCCCAAGCACAAAGGTATGCAGGATGTGTGCACAAACCTACCACAAACACACACACATGCATGCACACACAGCACACACATGCACACAAATGCATACACACTACACATATGTACCCACACAGGCACACATGCACACGCATACATGTCATTGATTGACCCCAGACCCCCAGTTAAAAAGACTCAGGAGGAAGGGAACTGCAGGGCACCCACCCAGAAGTCCATGTGCTCTCCGTAAGGAATAGACTCCTCCCTCCTTACTGCCTCTTCTGGGCTTTTTGTCACAAGCACATGTCGTTTTCATCTCAGCATGCCCTCCATGCCCTCCTGGCTCTCCCACCCACAGAACTTGCTCCTGCGCTTAGCACACCTCCTCTATGTGCCAGCCAACCATCAGCACGCACCACAGTGGCCAGGGTTCTTCATCCATTCAGCTTCTCCCAGTCAGTGAGCCCTGCAACCCCCACAGCCTGGTTCCCATAATACACTAGCTAGGAGCCCCCCAGAGTCTCCCACAATCAATGAGCCATGCCACTTGCATAAATTTCTGGAGCCCCTGCTTCTCGCCAGGATAGAAGGGGTGCAGTTCTCAGGACACATCCAGCAATAGCTACACACCTACTTGAAGCATCACGATCACAGAAATTAAGACTTGATGATCTTATGGTGACTTTTCCAATATGAAGGAGAAAAAGTTAGGCTAGATCACGCGCTTCAAAGAACCCAATATGGGAGCACTACTCAGACGGTCCTGTGGGCTGGACCCCATGTGAGCTTCTGCCCTGTTGCTCCAGAGCTGGCCCTTCTTAAGGTCACTCCACCCTGCCAACCCACAGCCAGCATGGCACTGGTGGGCCCAACAGGGCTACCCCGAGGCTGGTCCTGCCCTGTTTCCCCCAGCCCCTGGCTCCAAGCTTTTCGGGTCTGAACCTAGATGGTACTACAAATTCACACGGAAGGAAACACAGCGGTGACCTCCACTGACCAGGCCTCCCCTCTTTCCTCCTGAGGGAGCACTAAGCTACCAAGGTGAGGCTGGACCCACAGGCAGAAGATACCAGTTCGCCCAGCTGCTGCCAGGCAGGGGTCCAGGCTCCAGCCTCGCCAAGGGCGTTGTCTGCGCAGCTGTGCCCACTCTCACCCAGCACAGGGCACGAGGCACACACGATACACCAATTGCCAAGAACTCTGGGCGGGCCAACACTCTGCTCTTCCTGGGTCCCGAGTTCGGCTCTGCCCAAGCGTGAGGGCACAATGAGCAGACTATTGGGGGCCCTGGCCAGCCAGAGAGTGCAGAGGGCAGACAGTGAGTGGATGCGGGCCTTGCAGAAGCACAGCCACACCACCACTGGAGACAAGGTGGGGGCACAGGATGCCTGCCTGCCTGCCTGGGGAGAGACCAGTGGCAGAGCGGACACCAAAGCCACCTTTCACGGAGCACAACCAAGGGAGAAAATTGTGGCCCAGGCCTCATGGCTCCTACAATCTTGGGGTGGAAATCACAGAACCTGACTTTGCCCTGACCAGAATACACATGCCAAAGGTGTGTTCCTGTGGGCAGAGAGAAGCATTCCAGCAAACAACATTCTGTGTTCTCCACTCTCACCAACCCACAGTCGCAAACCCCAGTCAGCTGCCTGGCAAGAAGCCACACAACCCACAACTGTAAGGACCTGCCAGGCACGTGGTCTCCACAGGAGCTCCGAGATGGAAGGTCTCCTGGGAGCCGCCGGCGCAGATCCACGTTCCAGAATGATCTCTGCCAGAACGCTCCCTGGACTGGGCTCCCATGCTGCCCCAGCAGCCGCTTTCCTGGAAAGGCACTAACTGCTCTGGCGGCAGAATCTCCTCCTTCCGGCTTCCAACCATCCTAAGGACTGAACAGAGTCACCACCTTGCCCTCTGCCCACTGTTCCAGGAGATGCTAATAGAGGGCTCGACCTTCTGAGAACCGAGAGAAGTCAGCCCCCGCCTGGCCTCTCGTAAGACACAATCCACTAGACGTGGGCCTGGGCTCTGGGCTGGGTCGGCTGGATGAAGGGGAGGTTGGTGGTCCAGGCGGCTGCTCTTGGATGCAGGGTCTCTGGGCACACATCCGGGTAGCACGCGTCCTAGCCTTCAGCAACCTCGTTTTAAATGGGACCACACCAGGAGCAGCCAGGGCGCTTTCGTTTTCACTTTCTTTCCCCCAGGGGGACAGGAACATTCCTTTACCTCCTGGGGAAACCGGGCCCTTCCAGAGCCACAGACGCGTGAAAACCCCAGCCCTTCACGATGCTGCGCGGCTGTGTTTGGGTCTGTCCATCAGGGAGAAAGAAAAACAGGCCGAGTCTTGCACAGGGTCCTCGACAGCAACCCCGGGCAAAGGGCAGAGCAAACCTGAGACAGGAAGGGGCCATGAGCTCAGGGAAGCAGAGCAGGACCCAGCCCGGGGTACCAGGACTGGCCTCTTTCAAGCAGAGGCGAAACCGAGGCCCACAACATGCAGGATGAAAATCAACTTTAAGGCACCTGCTTCCCACACCAGTCCTTACTGGGGCATACTTCTAAGGCGACGCTCAATAATGGTAGCTGGGCAGCTTCAAGAACCTCAACCCAGACTCTGGCCTTGGGAGAATCCAAACCCCAAATGCCACACTCATGCGTCGGGAGAAAGGTCTGCAGTTTCCCCAAGTCCCTATCTCTGCGCCGTGCCGCGGGGCAGGCAGAATCCTGGGAGCCCCGGAATAGCCAGCTCCATCCGCCCAGGACCCCCGGGTTTGCAGAGTAAGGTGGGAACCAGAGCGCACACCGCGCCGGGCCAGCGATAGGGACTCCCGGCTGCTGTCTTTGGCGGCGTGCCCAGCTGTCGGGAAGACACCGAGCGCTCCTACGCGCCAGAGGAGCAGCTCGACGCTGCGAGAACTGCCGGTCCGCTCAGCTCCTGAGGAGCGCCCCGCCCTCCGGGACAGGGGCTCCCCCACGTTGCCCGCCCGTCCGCCCTCCAGAGCTCCCCAGTTCTCAGGGTCCACAGTTGAACGTGTCACAGGGTGTCCCGGCTAGAAGCAGATCCGGAGGCGGCGTGGACTGGGCGACCGCAAAGCGCAGGGGCCGCTGCCGCCTCGGCCGCGAGTCACCCTCGCGACTGTGCTCGTCGTACTCACCGTCCGGTGGGGCCCGGCCCAGGGCGGCCGCAGCCAGCCCGGCCAGCGGGCGCCGCAGCATCTGGGACCACCTCCTCCGCCCACTGAACCTACGTCACAGCCACGCACCGGCCCACCTCTGCACGCGCGAGAGACTGACGTCATGAGGCGCCTGCCCCGCCCATGTCTGACTCGTTCCTCCCCGCCTCTTAGGGAAGTACTTACCTCAGTGCCGCGCTGGCCCCGCCTCCACTTGCCGGCCTGTCGCCACCGCAGGGGCGTTCACCACACCGCCCTCCCAGCCAGCCTCCTCCCGCTTACGTCACAGCGCGGCGCCGGCCCGCCTCCTCACAGCGCGAATTAACGCCACGACCCGCCGGCCCCGCCCACGGTGTACTTGTCCCTCCCTGTCCTTCGGAGAAGTACCTCAGTGCAGCGCAGGCCGGGCTTTCATCTGCTACGTCACAGCGCTGCGCCAGCCCGCCTCCTCCGCCTTATGTCACAGCGCCGTTTTCGTCCTCCATCGACACTGCAGGGGCCTAACTAACCAACGACTCCGCCAACCCGTTCCAAGCCGGCCACTCTTCAAAAACCATTAATTGGGAAATGTGGCCGGGCGCGTGGCTTACCTCTGTGATCTGAGCTCTTTGGGAGGCCGAGGCGGGAGGATCGCGTGAGGCCAGAAGTTGAAGACCAGCCTGAGGATCATAGGGAAACCCCTTCTGTACAAAAAATTTAAAAAGTTTTTTTGTGCCTGTAGTCCTTGCTACTCGGGAGGCTGACGTGGGACAGTCGCTTGGGCCTGGGAAGTCGAGGCTGCAGTGAGCGGTGTTCGTGTCACTGCACTCCAGTCTGTGTGACAGATCGAGACCTTATTTTTTTCTTTTTTTCTTTTTTGAAACGGAGTTTCGCTTTTGTCACCCAGGCTGGAGTTCAATGGCGCCATCTCGGCTCACTGCAACCTCCGCCACCTAGATTCAAGCGATTCTCCTGCCTCAGCCTCCCGAGTAGCTGGGATTACAGGCGGCCGCCACCAGGCCCGGCTAATTTTTGTGTTTTTAGTAGAGACGGGGTTTCACCATGTTGGCCAGGCTGGTCTTGAACTCAACCTCAGGTGATCCACCAACCTTGACCTCCCAAAGTGCTGGGATTACAAGTGTGAGCCACCACACCTGGCCATGGGACTCTATTTCTAAAAATTATCTTAAAGTTTATTTATTTTTTGTTTTTTTGCTTTTTTGAGACGGAGTCTCGCTCTGTCTCCCAGGCTGGAGTGCAGTGGCCGGATCTCAGCTCACTGCAAGCTCTGCCTCCCGGGTTTACGCTATTCTCCTGCCTCAGCCTCTCGAGTAGCTGGGACTACAGGCGCCCGTCACCTCGCCCGGCTAGTTTTTTGTATTTTTTTAGTAGAAACGGGGTTTCACCGTGTTAGCCAGGATGGTCTCGATCTCCTGACCTCATGATCCGCCCATCTTGGCCTCCCAAAGTGCTGGGATTACAGGCTTGAGCCACAGCGCCCAGCCTATTTTAAATTTTAAAAAAAGTTTTATTGAAACTTTTTTTACAGGCTCACACCTGTAATGCCAGCACTTTGGGAGTCCGAGGCAGGCAGGTCACCTAAGGCCAGGAGTTTGGGACCAGCCTGGCCAACATGGTGAAACTCTGTGTGTACTAAAAATACAAGATCAGCTAGGTGTGGTGGTGTGCCCCTGTAATTCCAGCTACTGGGGAGGCTAAGGCAGGAGGATCACTTGAACCTGGGAGGCGGAGGTTGCAGTGAGCCGAGATGGAGCCATGGCACTGCAGCCTAGATGACAGAGTGAGACTCCGTCTCAAAAAAAAAAAAAAAAAAAAAAAAAAAAATTGAATGTGAACTGCAGGAGGGCAAGAAAAAAAGTAAAACTTTAAAAAATACAACTTTTAAAAAATATGTTGGGGCCAGGCTGTTGTACCATGGCTCATGCCTGCAGTCCCAGCACTCTTGGAGGCCAAGGCAGATGGATCACTTGCCCAGGAGTTGGAGACCAGCCTGGGCAACATGGCAAAGCCTCGTCTCTATTTTTTAAAATACTTCTAATAAAACAGTTTGTTGGACAAGGGATTGCAACCTGGAATATATGTGCTATGTCGGACCATGGGTGCTGCATTGGGGGAGGTGGGCAAGGAGAAGCTTTTTAGGCAAAAAAGGGAAAGTTCACTGTTAGAGGCAAAATTATGTCATATGTGTTCATTGGTTTCGTTGGCTTTTATTTGTGATTCATGAATTGAGGCAGCCTTCATTCTACAAAATAGAATAAAAGCCCTTGCCTGAATTAGCCAGGCGTGGTGGCGGGCGCCTGTAGTCCCAGCTGCTCAGGAGGCTGAGGCAGGCAAATGGTGTGAACCCGGGAGGTGGAACTTGCAGTGAGCCAAAATGTGCCACTGCGCTCCAGACTGGGCGGCAGAGCAAGACTCCATCTCAAAAAAATAAAAATAAAAACCCCCTGCCTGGGCGATATCAGAACCATGGGTTTTGTAAGGTGAAGAGAATAAGGAAACAAGATAGAAAAATAACAGATTGGTAACCTTAGCTTACTTCAGGTTACTCTTTTGTAAGGGTTAGAGAGCAGAAGGGACTTCCTTATTATGCCGACTGAGGAAAAACTAATCTGTTTTGGGATTTATTTTCTTATGTGGTATTTAACATAAGTGATTTAATTTTGGTTTGGTCTGGTCTATTGGAACCTAGCACAAGAGCTCAGTCCAAAACAATGGCCTCCCATGATCTTTTAAAAACAATTTTTACCCATTTTGATCCGGCTGTCACCTAGCTTGACCAAAACTTAAAAGTGCCTCTCTCAGTTACTATCAGTTTGGGTTTCTGATCTCAACACGTCATCACGTCATTGATAGGTTACAGTGTCTCCATGATCATGCCTTTTTTTTTTTTTTTTTTTTTTTTTGAGATGGAGTCTTGCCCTGTCACCCAATGCAATAGCACAATCTCGGCTCACTGCAACCTCCGCCTTCTGGGTTCAAACAATTCTCCTGCCTCAGCCTCCCGAGCAGCTGGGATTACAGGTGCCCGCCACCATGCCCAGCTGATTTTTGTATTTTTAGTACAGATGGAGTTTCACCATATTGGCTAGACTGGTCTCAAACTTCTGACCTCATGATCTGCCCTATTCAGCCACCCAAAGTGATGGGATTACAGGCGTGAGCCATCACGCCTGGCCATGATCATGCATTTCTTTGTGTTTTTGTCATTCCAGCTGAAGAGGGGCCATTTGATGTTCAATGGATGGTCACATGCAAATACTTAAAACATTTGAAAGGATACAGTGCACCAGGGAGACCACTATTGTGACTGTCAGGAGGATAATACCAAGGGTTTGGAGTATGTTCCTTAGCCAGGGTCCCCATGAACCCAACCAACGAAAACTGAATAGATCAAACTATATAAAATGGGTCTACCCATTTTAACCAAGTAGCCTGTTTGTTAATTTTTTGCAACTGAGTCTACAATACCTGATGTATTTATCCTTGTGCAACAAGATGTGCCAGAAACCACACAAGACCCCTTCGTGTTCAGCTAGTAGGTAATCTATGTAAAATTAAGGCAGGGAGTGAGAAAAAGTGGGTCTGGTTTGCTTTGGTGCCAAACAGTTGCATCAGGGATGTTGCCAAACTTACCCACTAAGTGAACTAAAGAGTCTGTTGGGTCATAAAGATCAGAGTCTGGCCTGACAGACCCAATATTTTTATCAGGTAACCCACAGAAGCTACTGGTGTGAAATTCTAACTACTGAAAGAGGTAGGCATGAGCAAGGAAAAATTGAGAGGGGCAAGGGGCTAGTCCTGTTTGGATATCTGGGGAAAAGCATCACAGTGTAAAATTGTCAACTTCTGGTCCTGATTTGTAATGTGACTCTCTGGTTATGACAACAGGTGGTTTGGTGAACTCTGTATGGTCCACACATTGGCATGAGACTTGTCCCTTGATGTTTACATCAAGTTGTCCAGCTTAGTAGTTTTGTTCTTAAGGTGGAGAGTTGTCAACATGTATTGGAGGAAACAAGAAGAATTCAGGGTCCAGTCCATTCTGCAGGTAGATAACAAAAACTCTAGAACAACAAACAAGGCTACAATCTAATAACAAGTGTACTATAATGTTCTTTCTTCTGAAACATACATTTTCTCTTTACAGTTGCCCCTCATTTCTACCAGAGATAATCAGAGTAAGACTAATTTGTTTGCAAAATGTTTAGCCTCATCAAATTGCTCCGCTTATTTAGAGAAGTTCAGTGAGAATAGCAATCAACCACATAGGCTCTTTTGAAGTTTGCTTGGCTGGAACTTTAGATCAGGAATCTCAGAATGAACTTTTAAAAATCTTTCAACGCTAGGAAGCCAGTGTAGACAGAATGTGTCTGTAAGTACTGCAGGCAAAGTCTCTATCTACAGTCTCAATTTCGATATCCCAGTCATAATATATCCAATATTTCCAATTGTGTCCTGTTATAAAGAGGGAAGATTCTCCTCCTCCTTCTTCCTCTTCTTTCTTCTTTCTTCCTCTTCTTCTGTCAGGGCCTCACTCTGTTGCCCAGGCTGGAGCACAGTGGTGCAATAATAGCTCCCTAGAGCCTTAACCTTCTAGCCTCAAGTGATCTTCCCTCCCATCTCAGCCTCCCAAAGTGTTGGGATTAATCCCTCACTTTTGGGAGACTGAGATGCCCAGCCAACAGCAGATTCTATTGAACATATGTAAATAATTATTATGTCATAAAAATAAGAATCCTCATGAGTAGTTTCTAAATTCTGGAAGGATCAGGTAGGGAGAAAAAAGCAAATGTCTCCATTTTTGTTCACAAAGGTATAAGTTACCAAATTGCCTTAAGCTATAGATAGCCTAAAAGAAAATGTTTCCTTAAATCTGAAAAACAAAAGAACCAGCAATATTTTTGAATTTTAAAAAGACATAGAAACCCATAATTCGTCAGTCCATTTAGTCTCATGTGATTAATTTTTGTCCTGCTTGATGTTGGGTTAGTAATTTGGTGAGTCTAGTTTTTCCCTTAGAGTTCTAGAAATTCCTACCCAGCCCAATGGTATGATCTTAAAATCATCAGAAACCTGTACTTGTCACAGTCTTTTCCATCTGTGGTGTCCTGATATACAGATGTTGTCCACAGTTCCTAGGTCCTTTGTCCACAGTTCCTAGGTCATAGTTCTAAGAACCATTGTTACAGTCTTTTGTTATAATGTTGGGTGTTTTGGGTCTCAGGAGACAGAATATCTCTGCCCTTCTCTTTCATTTGCCCAAGGCAGGACTTTAATCTGATTGTGGATCAAAAGACCCTCATTCTAGAAAGGGCCCTTCCCCATACTCTGGAGGAAGGACGTGGAGATGTCTTGCTAGGTTTAGATCAGACTTTTTTTTTTTAATTCAATCATGTTTTGACACAGTTGTCCATGCTTCTATCATGGACAACCAATAAAGTATAGAAGGCCCACAGGGCAGGGTTTGGGGGGCATCCAGAGAGCTGAACATGTGAAGGCTGAGAGAAAGGTGAAGAAGAACTCATCCACAGGCTGGGAGGATGTTGCACCCTAACTCCATGAGGACAGAAGCTCCTGTGCTTAGGACCCTTCCAGACCTCACCTTATGCGTCTCTTCATCTCGCTGTTGATTTGTATCCTTAAAAATACCCTTTTTAATAAACCAGCAAATGTAAGTGTTATCTTAACCCAACTGCCACCGCACTGCCATCATGGACACCAGCCACGTGCAGCCTATCAAGCTGGCCAGGGTCACCAAGGTTCTGGGCAGAGCTGGCTCTAAGGGACAGTGCACGCAGATGCGCATGGAATTTATGGAGGATACGAGCTGCTCCATCATCCACAACGTAAAAGGCTCCATGTGCGAGGGCTCTGTGCTCACCCTGTTGGAGTCAGAGCCAGAGGTCGGGAGGTTGCACTGATCTTGGCTGCTCGCTGGGTCTTGGATGTTGGGTTCGACCACTTGACCGGTGAGAATGGTGTGCTGCGTTCTCCTTTATTTTATTCTTGGCCTGCCACACAGGAATTCAGATGAGTCTTTAAATAAAGCGTTTGTGTTTCAAGTTAAAACAAAAATTTGCTGGGCATGGTGGCTCACGCCTATAATCCCAGCACTTTGGGAGGCCAAGGCAGGCAGATCACCTGAGGTCAGGCGTTTAAGACCAGCCTGGCCTACATGGCAAAACCTCGTCTCTACTAAAAATATAAAAGTTAGTTGGGCATGGTGGTGGGCGCCTGTGATCCCAGCTACTCAGGAGGCTGAAGCAGGAGAATCGCTTGAACCCGGGAGGCGGAGGTTGCAGTGAGTCGAGATCATGCCACTGTACTCCAGCCTGGGCAATGGAGCAAGACTCTGTCTCAAAACAGAAACAAAAACAAAAAACAAAACGAAACAAAAAATATGTTTCCCTGAGTTCCGTGAGCCACTCTAGCAAATTAATAAAACCCAAAGAGAGGGTTGTGGCACCGCCAACTTGAAGCCAATTGGTCAGACATTCCTGAGACCTGGACTTGCAACTGGTGTCTGAGAGTGTCGGGGGCAGTCTTGAGGACTGAGCCCCAAGCCTGTGAAATCTGACACTATCTCCAGGTAGATAGTGTTAGAATTGAATTGGAGGACACTTCGCTGGTGTCTGCTGCCTGGTGTGTGGTGAAAAACCCTACACCTTTCATCACAGAAGTCTTCTGTGTTCTTCTGTGAGAACAAAGGAAAAACCCGATTTGAGAGAGTTTTTCCCAAAGCACCAAGGTTTCCATGCATCTCCTTGAAGACACAACCACTTTAGGATTATAGTTGCTTGCAAAACACTTTTAGAAAAGCATGATTGTAAACCAATTAACTGTGAACAACCAGACTTTAAATGGCCATGGGTAAAGATCTGATGAGAGTGCCTAATAATAATGTTTCAGTTGACAAGAAAATTTAATTATTTCTGTGGCATACAACAATTTAACAAAATAACCAAAATCATGGCTAACATACCGGAGTCTTAGAAATTTTATACAATTTATGAAACACATATTAATAACATGTTCATACAAAAATAATTCAAAGATGGCTTAGCATCAGTTATTTGACAATACTTCCCATATAGTTTTGTTTTGAGACAGAGTCTGGCTCTGACACCCAGTGTCACCCACTCTGTACTCTGGGTGACAGTACAGTGCTGCAATCTTGGCTCACTGCAACCTCCACCTACTGGGCTCAAGCAATCCTCCCACCTCAGCCTTTCGAGTAGCTGGGACCACAGTTGTGTGCCACCATGCCTGGCTAATCTTTTGTTTTTTGGTAGAGATGGGGTTTCACCATGTTGCCCAGGCTGGTCTTGAACTCCTGAGCTCAAGAGATCCATCCACCATGGCCCCTCAAAGTGCTGGAATTATAGGTGTGAGCCACCATGCCTGGCCCCCATATAATTTAATATGCCAAATGAAAATAATTGGTTTGATATATCTCTTTTGGATGTTCCAGAGGCCTTCTGGAATATCCCAAAATTAGCTTGACTCAAAAAGACTTAATTTAGAATTGGATTTTGGGAAATTTGTCAAAATGTAAAAAAGTTTAAAACACTTGATTAAAATAGGATCACAGGTCACTGTGGAATAACAGTCATTGATTTAACCAGAGTAATAAAATACTTCAAAAGGCAAATATAGGTTATAGCGTTGTCAACAAAAACTTAGGTATTTAATGTTGTGAAGACTCACTTAAATAATCAAAGACCCAGGTTGGGCATGGTGGCTCACAACTGTAATCTCAGCATTTTGGGAGGCTGAGGCGGGTGGATTTCTTGAGTTCACGAGTTTGAGACCAGCCTGGGCAACATAGTGAAACCTTATCTTGACAAAAAATACAAAAATTAGCCGGGCCTGGTGGTGTGCACCTGTAGTCCCAGCTACTTGAGAGGCTGAGGTGGGAGGATGCATGAGCCTAGGTGACGGAGCTTGCAGTGAGCCAGGATGGTGCCACTGCCCTCCAGCCTGGGCAATAGAGCCAGACATCGTCTCAAAAATAAATAACTAAATAAAAATAAAAAATAAAGACCTAATAAAAGCCAAAGCACAAAAAATTATCTTGATAAAACACAAAATCGGCCGGGCACGGTGGCTCAAGCCTGTAATCCCAGCACTTTGGGAGGCCGAGACGGGCAGATCACGAGGTCAGGAGATAGAGACATCCTGGCTAACACGGTGAAACCCCATCTCTACTAAAAAATACAAAAAACTAGCCGGGCGAGGTGGCGGGCACCTGTAGTTCCAGCTACTTGGGAGGCTGAGGCAGGAGAATGGCGTGAACCCGGGAGGCAGAGGTCACAGTGAGCTGAGATCCGGCCACTGCACTCCAGCCTGCGCGACAGCGCGAGACTCCTTGTCAAAAAAACAAACAAACAAACAAAACCACAAAATCTTCTTTTCCCACACCAATTGAAAGGAAAAAGAATCCTTCACATTCTCAGACCAATACTCCGAGAAAACTTTGTCATCTTAACAAAGAGCAAATACTACTTTTGCACCAGTGTACTATTAATGCTAAAGCTAATTTTAATAAAACCATTCAAATAAATCCATTCAATTTCAGTCAGGTTTGATAACACAAAATTTCCACAAACCATTTATAACCCCTTTGTTAAACAAAAATGTGTTCTTCATATCTTTTCCTATCAAACACATATTTTTTCCCTTGCAGACAAAGTTGTTTTCTTTCTAGTAGTTTAATCCCATATGTTATTATAACTTTTAACTGTTAGAATCTTAATTTCTAGAATACTAGCAAGCATTGTGGTGAACTTATATCAGCATTCTCCATTTCATAATTTCCGGAAACAATATTTCATATTACTAGACCTAAATACACTTAGCTTCTCTATACCATATAAAAACACGATGCCAAAGTGTTTAAACTTATGCTTAGTAATTAATGTTTCAGTATGCTAACTTACTTAAGACATATGGATACCCGTGTGAAGGAAGCATCTGGATGAAGTCCATCTGCCAAACCCTGTGTGGCCCATTAGGCAGGTCAGAATGGCCAAGGGCTGTTCACACTGGTTTTCCAGGTTTGATTTCAAAGCAGGTCTGGCAGGCGAGGTAAGCCCTTTTAGCAAGTCCATTGACATGGCCCTACCAGTACTGTTTCATAAAAATGATCCTCTTTTCCACAGCCCCATGGCTCAATTCATGCACAATACTTTACAGAAATTTCATGGAGAAAAGTAAAAGTACAGGCCTTTTACTTGGTCCACACCAGAGTTCCTCTCTATCACTGAACCATCAGCCTGTATTTTTCCCATTGTGGTTTTTTTTTTTTTTTTTTTTGGCCTCTGGTGCTCAGTAATGTTCATCTTTAGTCATTGTTCTAAGATCATATCCTTTGGAAATCTTTCCAACTGGGTAACTCCATGACAGAGAATTGATCAGTAGGACTTTTTTATTTTTTATTTATTTATTTATTTTTTTTTGAGACGGAGTCTGGCTCTGCCGCCCGGGCTGGAGTGCAATGGCCGAATCTCAGCTCACTGCAAGCTCCGCCTCCCAGGTTTACACCATTCTCCTGCCCCAGCCTCCCGAGTACCTGGGACTACAGGCGTCCGCCACCTCGCCCGGCTAGTTTTTTTGTATTCTTTAGTAGAGACGGGGTTGCACCGTGTTAGCCAGGATGGTCTCGATCTCCTGACCTCGTGATCCACCCGTCTTGGCCTCCCAAAGTGCTGGGATTACAGGCTTGAGCCACCACGCCTGGCCAGATCAGTAGGATCTTAAGGGCAGCATTCTTAGCAACATTCTCAGCAAGGTGGTGTCCTCTAGCCTCCATGGAATCTAGTTTCAAATGGCCTGGAACCTTTATCATGGCCACAGCAGCAGGTATTTGTATTGCATATAATAAATCATAAGGTTCATTACTGAAAGTGAGGAAACCTGTTTCCACAACATTCCAAAATCATAAGCAACTCCAAATGCTTACCTGCTATCTGTACAAAGATTAGCAGATTTTCCCTTAGTGAGAAGGCAGGCTCCAGTGAGGGCAAATAGCTCCACCTGCTGGGCTCGAGTGGCTGAAGGCCAAGCAACTGCTTTCCCAACCTCAAAGCAAGTGGGTGTAGGATATTCACCGTGATCATCCTGGAAGTATGAACCATCTGTGAACCAGGATAGCTTCACATTGTCCAGGGGAGTTTTCTGTAAATCCTTTCGGGGAATCATAAGATGATCCACTGGCCGGGCGTGGTGGCTCAAGCCTATAATCCCAGGAATTTGGGAGGCCGAGGCGGGCGGATCACAAGGTCAGGAGATCGAGACTATCCTGGCTAACACGGTGAAACCCCGTCTCTACTAAAAATACAAAAAAAATTAGCCGGATGTGGTGGCAGGTGCCTGTGGTCCCAGCTACTCAGGAGGCTGAGGCAGGAGAATGACGTGAACCTGGGAGGAAGAGCTTGCAGTGAGCTGAGATCGGGCCACTGCACTCCAGCCTGGGTGACAGAGTGAGACTCTGTCTCAAAATAAATAAATAAATAAATAAATAAATAAATAAATATCCACTAAAATTAGACAGTCATGTGGCATCTCATCCCAGAGTACAGAGGAAGGAGAGTGGCAGGATTAGGTTTATTACAGCAAGAGAAAGTAATATGGGGAGTGGTTAACAGAAGGATCTCATAAAAGGTGAGGTGGATAGAAGAAAATGTGGCACAAAAATGGTCCAAGGAGATCCCCTGATGACTTCTTTGGTGGATTTGACCCACAGGGTGGTGGTACGGATAGCCCTCAGACAAGGAGAAGATCTGCAAGCTCCCAGGTCCCACTGTTCACTGTAGTATCATACAGGAATATGCTGATTTCCATGCTTTTAAAACTTTTTCAATTTAAATTTTCTTCAGAGACAGAGTCTCACTCTGTCACTCAGGCTGGAGTGCAGTAGCATGATCACAGCTCACTGCAGCCTTCAACTCCTAGGTTTAAGTGCTCCTTCCACCTCAGCCTCCCAAGTACGTGGGACTACAGGTGTGCTACTATGCCAGGCTAATATTTAATTTTTGTGTGTGTGGTGGGGGGTCTCGTTATGTTGCTAAGGCTAGTCTCAAACTCCTGTCTTAAGTGATCCTTCTACCTCAGCCCCCCAACCATGGCCAGCTGCGTGCTTTTCAGTTAAAACTGTCAGGGTGCTTCCTTCTTTTTATATACAGAAAGGAAGAATTGGGGGTTGCATCACTTCTCGGCCTTTTGGCTAAGATCAAGTGAAGAAGGGGAGTTGCCTTAGTCTCCTGTTGATGTGACTGAATACCCGAGACTGGGTAATTTATAAAGAAAAAGAATTTATTTATCACAGTTCTGGAAGCTGGGAAGTCCAAAGTCAAGGGGGCATATCTGGTGAGGGCCTTCTTGCTGGTGGGGACTCCCTGCAGAGTGCTAGGGGACGTGGCTCAGTGCATTACATGGTGAGGGGGGTGGTCTCTCTTCCTCTTATGAAGACAGCAGTCTCACTCCCAGGATAGCTCAGTAATCCATTAACCCATCAAGCCCCAAATCCATGAATAGATTAACTCATTCACGAGAGCAGAACCCTCATGATCTAATCACCTCCTAAAGGCGATACTTCTCAATACTGCTGTATTGAGGATTAAGTTTCATCATGAGTTTTGGAGAAGACAAACATTCAAACCATAGCAGTTGATAATTAGGGTGTCCCAAGGCTGGGGGATTTAATAAAATTCCCTGTTTGCTTGTCAAAAGCCATATCTTCTGGGTCTTCCCAAACAATGGGGTCAGGTTTGGTGGTTTTAGCAGAGGCATTGGGCCAGAAGAGAAGACCTGGGGATACAGCAAACCTGAGAAATCCACAGAGCTGGTGCTCAGTTCTGGATTTATAGAGAATTATAGGGATTGTATGGGATTATAAAATGTCTTGTATGCAGTCTAGGTCTGAGTGTGGTCCACTTTCTGAAATTAGGTGGCCTAAATATTTTTCCTGGGTTTTTACCCGTTGTAATTTTTCCTTAGAAACTTAATGGCCTTTACCAGCTAAGAGTTTTAACAAGTGTACACTGTCTTCCTCACATGCTCCCTATAAGGGAGAACAGTGGAGGTCATCCACATATTGCAATAAAGTGGACCCATGAGGAAAGTGACATCCTTCAGGTTGGCCTTCAGAATTTGGAAGTAAGAAGGGCTCTCAGTGAAGCGCTGGACGTGACCGTCCAGGTACACTGTTGGCCTTCCCAAGTGAAAGCAAAAGGCCTTGACTGGCCTGGCTGACCTGATGTTAAAGAAGGCACTGCACAGATAAATTGCAGTGAAGAACTTACCATCAGTTGGGATTGAGGTCAGCAAAGTATGGGGGTTTGGGACACCTGAGTGGTGAGGTGCAACCATATTGTTTATTGCACAAAGGTCTTGAACAAATCTCTACTCACAGCCATTAAGTTTCTTTTTTTTTTTTTTTTTTTTGAGACGGAGTCTCGCTCTGTCGCCCAGGCTGGAGTGCAGTGGCCAGATCTCAGCTCACTGCAAGCACCGCCTCCCGGGTTCCCGCCATTCTCCTGCCTCAGCCTCCCGAGCAGCTGGGACCACAGGCGCCGCCACCTCGCCCGGCTAATTTTTTGTGTTTTTAGTAGAGACGGGGTTTCGCCGTGTTAGCCAGGATGGTCTCGATCTCCTGACCTTGTGATCCGCCCGTCTCGGCCTCCCAAAGTGCTGGGATTACAGGCTTGAGCCACCGCGCCTGGCCCCATTAAGTTTCTTTACTGGCATAGTTGAAGTGTTAAAGAACTGTGGTACACGACATCACAAGATTTTGTGCCTTATAAGCTGCAGTGATGGATTTTATGACCAATAGATCTTCCTTGTTTGAGGTAATTTAAAGAGTCAGGAAGTTCCAGGATTGAGTCAGTTTGACCTGGTTTGTCAAATCCAAAAATTATTTTCCCCATTTCCTGCATGATGTTTGTTTGCAGGCCAGGCACTCTGGTTCCTGCCTGTAATCCCGGTACTTTGGGAGACCAAGACAGGCAGATCATTTGAGGCTAGGAGTTCGAGACCAGCCTGGCCAACATGGCAAAAACCCATCTCCATTAATATAAAAAATATTTTTTAAAAAAAGTATTGACCAAGAAGGTGGACAGGAGCTGAATTACTAAGAACAAAGGAGATCCTGTAAGAGACTGAGGCAGAAAAGGATAGACAGGACTACAAAGACATCCTGAGGTTTGTTGTAGACTGAACACTATTTGTATTTATGCTTCAAGGAAGAGGCTGGTTGAGGTTAGTGGAGCTGAACCCTGGAAGTGTGGCTCCAGTAACTATAAGGACAGTTAGGACCTCATTCTTGATATTAAGAGTTATTTCCCTAACATGGTTGTGGGGAGGGATGAGAAGAATCCCTATAATTCTTTGGACTCCATTATTGAGAGTTGATATGGTTTTAATGTCCTGCCCCAATTTCATGTTGAATTGTAATCCCCAGGCTGGGCACAGTGGCTCATACCTGTAATCCCAAGACTCTGGGAGGCTGAGGCAGGTTGATTGTCTGGGCTCAGGAGTTTGAGACCAGTGTGGGCAACATGGCAAAACCCTGTCTCTACCAAAAATACAAAAAAACTAGCCAGGCATGGTAATGTGCGCCTGTGGTCCCAGCTACTCAGGAGACTGAGGTGGAAAGATTGCTTGAGCCTGGGAGGCAGAGGTTGCAGTGAGCTGAGATTTTGCTACCGCATTCCAACCTGAGGAACAGGCATCGAGAGAGAGAGAGAGAGAGAGAGAGAGAGAGAGAGAGAAAAGGAAGGAAGGAAGGAAGGAAGGAAGGAAGGAAGGAAGGAAGGAAGGAAGGAAGGACGGAAGGAAGGAAAGAAAGAGAAAGAAAGAAAGAAAGAAAGAAAGAAAGAAAGAAAGAAAGAAAGAAAGAAAGAAAGAAAGAAAGAAAGAAAGAAAGAAAGAAAGAAAGAAAGAGAAAGAAAATTGCAATCTCTATCTAGTATTGGAGGTGGGGCCTGGTGGGAGGTAATTGGATCACAGGGGTGGATGTCTCATTAATGGTTTAGCACCATCCTCTTGGTGCAGTCCTCATGATAGCAAGTGAGTTCTCGAGAGATCTGGTTGTTTAAAAGTGTGTGGCACCTCCCCCATGCTCTCTTGCTGCTATTTCACCTTCCGCCATGAATGGGAGCTTCCTGAGTCCTCTCCAGAAGCAGATGCTGCATGTTTCTTGCACATCCTGCAGAACTGTGAGCCAATTAATCCTTTTTTCTTTTTTCTTTTTTTTTTTTTTTTGAGACGGAGTCTCGCTCTGTCGCCCAGACTGGAGTGCAGTGGCGCGATCTCGGCTCACTGCAAGCTCCGCCTCCCGGGTTCACGCCATTCTCGTGCCTCAGCCTCCGGAGTAGCTGGGACTACAGGCGCCCGCCACCACGCCCGGCTAATTTCTTTTTGTATTTTTAGTAGAGACGGGGTTTCACCGTGTTAGCCAGGATGGTCTCGATCTCCTGACCTCGTGATCCGCCCGCCTCGGCCTCCCAAAGTGCTGGGATTACAGGCTTGAGCCACCGCGCCCGGCCCCTTTTTTCTTAAAAATTACACAGTCTTGGGTATTTATAGCAATTCAAGAACAGCCTAATAAAGGAATATATACCTTGAGGGTTTTGAGGGAGGGGTCTTTAACTCTCTTTAACTTACAGCAACCTCTCTTCCAGTGTCCAGTTTTTTACAATACTGGTAGGGGCCAGGAGGATTTTGTTTGGGGGCTTCCGTTTGTTGCAGCTGGTGGTTGAAGATTTTGATAATTTTCTTTTTATTGGTATCCTCACGGAGCTGATTGGCCAACCTTACTAAATGTGGAGTGGACATGGCTCCCCATTCCATGTGGGTTATTTTAACAGGTTGGGAAAATTCTCAAGTTAGGCTATTCACAAACATAGAATTAAAGGCTACTCGGGTAGAATAAACATTTACAGAAGTCCAGAATTGTCCTTAAAGACAATGCGGAGTCAATTGTAATAATTCTGAACTGGTTCATTTGGTTTTGGGTACAAGTTGAATCTTGTTCCAATCTATGGCTTTAAGGAAAACTTAAAGATAGCTCTGGGGTTCTTTAGATTGGGAGCTTGTTCCCAGTATTGGGGCATTTGTCTAGTTCAGATGGGATCCAGTTAGCTTTAGCCATCCAATGTTGGGCTTGGCCTTCATCAACAAGTGTATGAAGCAGCTGGTATAGATTGGGGAAGCCGAACTGATAGGCCTGGATTACCATGTTGAATTCATCAGCAAATCAGTTATGGTCTTCAGTGACTTTTGGGAATTCCTTGGCAATGGCTCTGAATTCAACCTTCGTCCAAGCCTTGGTCAAAGGAACATAGGAGACTTGGGATTTAGCTGGGTCATCAGTGCTCATAGGAAGGGCTGTAGGAAGGGGAGGAGGAGGTTCCAGGGAGGAGAGAGTCTGGGCCTCTAAGGCTTTTTCTTTCTTTTTTTTTTTTTGGCCTCTTTTAATTGTTTACTTGTCTCAACTGGCTTTGAGACAGCGTTTTGTATAGAGGTAATTTCTGAGTCCTAAATGTGCTTTGAAGCCTCAAGATGCCAATTGTAATATGTCTCCCATTCAGACTGACGCTATAGCCACGGTCTCCTAATTTAGTTCTCAGAAAAGTAAACTTCGAAAGTTTGATCTGCAAATGGCCATTGGAGCTCCAAATTATCCTTGGTGTAATTTGTCCGTTGGTTTAAAAGGGTGCACAAGGGTGAGCCTGAATGTCTGCACATGGAACTGACTGGGGTCCTGAAGGAGGGTTGCCCTGCATGCTTTAGAATTTGGGAATCCCACTCCCTTTCTTAATCTCTCAAAAGCAAAAAGAAAATCCTATTGGTCCTTTGAGGAAACTAAAACTCAGGAACGAAGTGTTCTGCTTTCATAAGTATGCCTTTCACAGGATGCTTGTTTTGCTTGGTGGATGGCCTTTGCTCTAAGTTGTCTGACCTGTGACCACGAAGCCCTTGTTATACATAAATTCTCTTGAAACTGGTAGGCCCCCAGTGGTAATATTGCCTATCTGTGACCAGTTTGTCCTTTCAAAGGAGTCTTTGACTTTGGAGACTCTAATCTGTTATAAAATGGTGGTGAGCACCCCAGTGACTCTTAAGTGTTCAACTGTGTCTAACAATGTTGTGTTATTTTGCTCTCAAATGATGTTTAGAAACAATGAAAACAAGGGGAAAAGGTCTAATTTGCATGCAAGCAGCCAAAAATGAAACCAAAAGAATACTCACCATGTGGAGCTAAAGCAACTCCATCTTGGATGCCAGTCTTCCATGCTCACTTCTGATTAACCCCAGTTCTGGGACTTGTAGGAGTGTGGACTCACTGCATATCCTGCTATAGGTCAAAACAGTCTCTTCACATTATCATAAATGTGACCATAAATCCTGCCTTTTGGAAAATTCTTATCTTTCCCTGCAGGGTTGACTTCAACTGCTCTACATATTCCTTCCTTATAAAGGCCTGAGTCTGGGGGGTAACAGTGCAGGGATCCACCATCTGCAGGCTGCCTGAGTCATGGCTTTTGTCCATAAGTCTCTATCAAATTTTTTTCCTGAGATTTCAGATTTGTCAGCCTCTTTCTTCAGCCTCTCAGCTCCCCCGGCCTTTTGCAGGTAGGTTTGCATAGGCTGTTCCAGTGCAGAACACACAAGAAAGGACGTGGTGTCAACAGAAACAAATCCCGAATAAAGTCAGAGAGTTCAACCAAAAGGAGGGAGTTTGAATCCAAGACAGAAGTAAACCACACAGAAGAAAGATTACTCATGGAAGCTGAGAGCGCAATGGACTCAGGTGGGTACCGCATACAGTTCCAGAGGTTGCCGATCTGGGAAAAGCTCCTCCTTTCTGTGTCAGCCTGAAGTTGTTAGCAGTGGTGAATCTGTATGGGTCTGCACCGACCTGAATTCTTGACACACCAAGGCAAGTTTTAGAGCAGGAATGAAAGTTTATTGTTAAAAAGTTCTAGAGCAGGAATGAAAGGAAGTAAAGTATACTTGGAAGAGGACCATGAGGGCAACTTGAGAGATTCAAGTGCGCGATCTGACCTTCAACTTGGGGTCTTATACATTGGCATGTTTCTGAGATCTTGCATCTCTTCTCCCCTGATTCTTCCCTTGGGGTGGGCGGTCCACATGCTCAGTAGCCTGCAAGCACTTGGGAGGGGCCACATGCACAGTGTGTTTACTGAAATTTTATGCATGCTCATCTGAGGCATTCTTCCCTTACCAGTTGAGTGTTCCTAGAGGAAGGTCATACACCAATTAAACTCTGCCATTTTGCCTCTTAGTGCTCCTGCTTGACCCTACTCACCCAACTCCTGAGATATTATTTGGAAGCTGCTGTTTAACAGCTTCAGGTGTTATCTGTCTATTAGGAGACGGCGTTCCCTGGCACCAGCTGCAATCAATTATTTTAAAGCAACAGTTTAGCAACCGCCTGATCATCACCTGGTGATCATCTGACATTCCTGGTTTGGGAGAGGGCCTCTCCTGCCCTGCTCATGTCTGCCTAACTACCTACTGTAACAAAATGAGCAAGAGAGACCAACTCTGAAAACAAAGAGTTTATTTGTGAATAGCCAAGGAATTGTAATCTAGGATGCATGTCCTTTGGTGGACCATAAGCATATTTGAGGGGTTGGGACAAGAGGAAGCTTTTGAAAGCAAAAAAGGGTAAGCGCATGTAAGATATTTTGAAACAGAAACTCTTGTTCACAGGGGCTTATTGCAGATGGTGTTTGTTCATTGGTGGTGCTGGCTGTTGCTAGCAGAGGTGTAACTGAACTCAGGTCTAGGCCACTTGAATCTTGAAAGGCAAAAACTCAAGAGACAAGCTTTGGTAAAAGGAAAGTTAGCTTTATTCAAGATGCCAGCAAACCAGGGAAGGCAGTGAACTAGGGTTCAAAGACCACCATTCTGAGTCGTGCCTCTAAATCAGAGGTTGTTAAGGGAAATTAGGGAAAATAATGAAAACATTCTTGCGAAATGTGGGCATTCTCAGGTGGGCGGTTAATCCTTGCTTTCTTGGTCAATGCTTTGTGGCCTTCTGTGGGTATGGTCAGGCTGGCCAATTCATTCCCAGAGTTGTTGGTTGGCATGTTTTTAAAAATCTCTGTTGAAGGTCCTCTTTTTCTGAGGCCATTTTTAGTGAATAATCTAAAGACTCAAGCAAAGTAATAATTGTATTCAAGCAAGCAAGTTTTCTTCTAACATGGAGTCAGTACTGTTATAGAGGCTCTTCTATGAAGAGCCTCTTCTTCCATGGAAGTGACTTAACTGAAAGTTCTGATAGAGAAAGTCACCTGCTTATGTCACAGCTCTGCACTGGCCCACCCCACTTGCCCCTGCAGTGACATAGGTCACCACTGTGCAGGCCTGGCTTTAGTCAACCCATGCCACCCCCTTGGGTTTTCAGCTTTATTGAGACTGGCTTTCTAGAAGAAAACATTTTATTTGGGAATAGCAGAAGATTGCAACCAAAGGTATGCATGTGTGATATTGTGAAATATACATATTCAGGTTTTGTCTCCATTTTGGGGCCTCAGAAACAGATATCCCCAAAATATGGTGTCAAAACATGTGGAAATGAAGAAGCTGCAAGGTCTCTCTGACCTTCCCCACCTCATGTCTCCCAATTCTCTGTCTCTCCCAAAGCACAGGATAAAGTTGTTCTCTGAAGCTCCCTTTTCCGCCTCAAGAAGAAAACAATTACCTCTGGTCCCTTCCCTGAGTTTTTATTAACTGAATTCATATTGCAGGGAGAAAGTCTGAAGTCAATCCACCTGGACAGATGTCACAAACCACCGCCTACCCTGTGAGCCCAGCAGACTTCAAGGAGGCTACTGTATGCTCTTCAAGCCCTTTGAACTCCCCTAAAAATCATTTACTGAGTTCCTAAAATCATTTATGCTTCCCCATCTCCCTTGCCCCTAAGGGCATATATCCATCTGTACACCACTCAGTGGTGGGGTAGTCACTCTGAGATTTTTCTCCCATCATATTAATAAATTTGTGTGTCATATATATTCCTCTGTTTTGTCAGATGATTTTCAGCAAATCTTGAGGGTGAAAGCCCTTTTCTGGCATACAACACCTAAAGTCCTTGAAATCTCTATAAGTAAGGGATTTTTTGTATGCTAATGAGTTGACTGGTGGCTGGCAGCCCCTAGGTAGCTTCAGAATGGGGCTAGTCACTGAAAAGATCAAGGCAGGATTGGAATTTTCATCCTCATCCCCATCTCCCCATGTCTGGGGCGGGGAAAGGGACTGAAGGTTAAACTGAGTACCTGTGGCCAGTGATTTAGTCAATCATGCCTAAGTAATGAAGCCTCCATAAACACCACAAAAGGACTAGGTTTGGAGAGCTTGGGTAGCTGAACACGTGGAGGTTCATGGAGGGTGGCTGACCCACAGAAAGCGTGGAGCTTTCAGCCCTATAACTCGCCCTGCGTATCCCTTCATCTCTATGCTTTATAATAAACCAGGAAACTTAAGTGTTTGAGTTCTGTGAGCCGCTCTAGCAAATTAATTGAATCCAAAGGGGGTCCTAGGATCCATACTTTATTGCTGGTAGGCCAGAATACAGGTAAAGCAACCTGGGCTCGAGATTGGCATTCAAATAGAGTCGAGCTGAACAAAGGAAACCCAGCTGCTATCCGCTGAAGAACTGATTGCTTGCTTAGTGTGTGGGGAGAAATACCCATCTGGTGTCAGAAGCACGTTGTGATAGCCAATGATTAAAGAATTTTTTTAAAAGTGTGTTCTGAGAGTATAATGTGAAAAACTGTGTTTGTTTTAATCCACTCAGCATGCTATGAAAGTCATAGGCCCACCTGAGGAAAATCGGGAAAAAAGGGAGTTTTACAGACAAACAGAAATCCCTGTAAACTGCTTTGAAACTATCAACCTAAGAAAAAAAGTAGAGAAAATTATCTCTAAACATGTTGAGTTTACTCAGGAATGAGAAATGAGGATTATAATTCAGAATGCACAGAAGAGTGTGTTAAAGTGAACTATATATGGCCTGAGGGCTCCATACTTCTATATTTGAGTTTTTGTGGATGAACTGCAACCTAGTTTAATAGGTAGACAGGACTGAAAACTTAGGAGTATGCACCTGTAACAATAACAAAGTCTGGGCCAATCCCAGTTGCCCTACTTCAACCATTCAATACCCTGCTGTGTGTTCAAACTGTGTTCAAATAAGGCAAATACTAACCTGTAACCAATCCAACTGTTCTGTACCTCACTTTTGATTTCTGTACATCATTTCCCTTTTTCTGTCTATAAATCTTCTTCCACCACGTGGCTGCACCGGAGTCTCTGTGAATCTGCTGTGATTCTGGGGGCTGCCCAATTCACAAATCATTCATTGCTCAGTTAAACTCCTTTAAATTTAATTTGGCTGAAACTTCTCTTTTATCAGGTGGTGTCAGAAGTGGGATTCGAGGTAGGGCCTCTAGCAACCCCCAGGAGTGCTGAGTGAATATGCAAGGTACCTGCAGGACCCACTTGTGTCCACTAATCTCTTGGAGCGGCTGAGGATTGTGGGTAAGCTCTCGGATTTCAGAGCTCCACAGATTTGTGTTTTGAGCTCTCTGAGTTTCTTTGAGCAAATTTCTGATTCCAAACTGGGTTTGGAGGTCACGACAGAAACTGGGCTGGGTGGCTGGGCATGGTGGCTCACCCCTGTAATCCCAGCACTTTGGGAGGCCGAGGCAGGCAGATCACGAGGTCAGGAGATTGAGACCATCCTGGCTAACACGGTGAAACCCCGTCTCTACTAAAAATACAAAAAATTAGCCAGGTGTGGTGGCAGGTGCCTGTTGTTCCAGCTACTCGGAAGGCTGAGGCAGGAGAATGGCATGAACCTGGGAGGTGGAGCTTGCAGTGAGCTGAGATGGTGCCACTGCACTCCAGCCTGGGCGACAGAGCAAGACTCCGTCTCAGAAAAAAAAAAAAAGAAACTTGCCTGGGTACAGGAATGGATTTGATCTGGGAATTAACTGGCTTTGACCCAGTTAGAGGCCTTTTTACATACGACTGGGTCAGAAACAAACTGGTAGTAAGCAGTAATATTGCATGGGTTATACAATTTGGCTTTTGAAAATTCACAGGGATTTTTGTGTTCTACCCCTTTGTTTCATTTTTCTTGTGCACTTAGGTAGGAAAAATCACTGGCTAAGTTAATTAAGAGAACCTGAGAATAAAGCCAATATTTTAGGTAAAAATAGGAGTCTTAATTTCTGGAAAACTGAGTTCCTTCTGGGTTACACATTAGGCCTAGGAGGCAGCAAAGTCTTACAGAAATGGCAAAATCTTACTAGAGATAACTTACAGTGGAATGTTCTGAATGAGCAATGCATTGAAGTACATTTAAAAATAAGGGCTCTCAAAAAAGTCCCTTTTGGCTAAGAATGGGTTAGGCACTACGGAATGTTAACTGCTATTCTCTTTGGAATAACCTGCCTTGCACTCTTTGCTGATGGTTGAGGGTGACAGGATTAGGCATGTATGTACAGGATAGTGGCACATGGGGAGCTTTTTCCTCCCGAAAGGGGAAACTTGAGAGCTGATGGGACTGCGGGAAAAGATATCTTTGCTACTGACAAACAGCCACCTGAACTTTGCAGCATTGCTGCAATGAGTCAGTCTTTCTCTGGCCTCCTTGAGCTCTTCACCTTCCCCATCCTGCCACAGGTAATACTTTTCTTTCTCTACCTTTCCTTTCCTATCTTTTCTGTTACTCAGGGCAACCATCTGGCCCGGAGACCATATGTTGAAACTCCTAGTTGGAGGTTGGATTAAAGATGATGGGGCCCATCTGGGGACAAATTTAAGACTTGCCAGTTTGATATTGGCTGCTAAGCAGAGTGGCTAATGTCTATGTTTTATCACACATATTTTGCTCTGGCCAGAATGGAAACAGAAAATTTTCCTTTATGTTGTGTCTTGGCCCCCAGGGCTATGGTGCAGCCAGCTGGGTCATTAGGGCCACTCAGGGAAAGAGAACCCAGAAGTCTGTCACGCCAGCAAAAGGGTAAGAATTTCTTCCCAGTCAGACTTCTGGTCTCTCTCTCTCTCTCTCTCCCCCCCCCTTCCCTCCCTCCCTCTCTCTCTGTGCAAACTCATTGAATGAATGGTAAAAATCACTGTTTATCTCCTCTGTAAATTTTGATTAATGGAAGAAAGGATTTGTGAGGCTAGTCTTAAACTGTAGCAAATCTGGTGTGCTTTGCGTGCCTTTCTGTATTGTTCTGTCATGAAGAGGGGTACCTTAGGATAGACGCCTGTAAGCCCACTTTTCAAGATGGTTCAGCAAATTGGTCAGTTATGTCCTTGGGAGCTTCACCTTGTAATTATGTGACCATGCTTTCTCTTTTCACAATGGTGGGCCAGGTTCAGGGTTCAATCCCTAGATTAGGGGATGAGCCTTTCTCATTAATATTTGGGTGACCTTTGCCATTTTTAAATTCTCTTCCCCTCCACAAACTGTCTTGAATTTTCCCTTCTCAGAGCACCTATGAGGTTATTTTTGGTAAAGTTTAAAAGCCAGAAATATCAGCCATTTGGCCTGGCTAAAGTCAGGTAATAAGAAATTTTAGAAGGACTTTATTAAAGAGTTCTATGGTTAAAAGTCAGCTTAATTAAAAGCAGATATTCAAGCTCTAACAGCCTGGGGCTCCTTGGGGAAAACAAGAGGCACCAGAAACCCTTTCCTGGCCCTGTTCTTCCAAGGACTCCACCCTAAAGCAAATAATCCAATTAAGAAACTTAAAAACTGGCAAAAAAAAAAATCTTACAACTACTGTAGTAATCTTCCTCTGTCTGTCTGTGTAATTATATATGTGTTGTTGTGTGTGTAATGTTTACATAAAAGATCTCTGATTGACTTGAACAAAAATAGGCACTTAAATCAAATATTTTAAAAGAAAAATAAAAACTGTAATGCCTTTTAATTCAGGTAACTTTGGTAATCTTTGGAAAATAACAGCTTTAAAAATTATTGAAAAAATAAAGACATTTATTTTAGCCTAAAATTTATTTATTTAGTATTTAGTGTTTAGTCTAAATTATGCAGGTCAGATATTAGGTTTTCTTCATACTTTAAGGTCATAAACTGCTTTGACTTTTGAAAATTGTTCAACTAATTTTGGAGACATTAAATTATAAATAAGGCCTGGGAATATGTGGAATTAGCTATGCTCCCTAGCTATGAAAAGAAGTTTATAAAGAAAAGAGACTTTATATAAGAAAGCGTCTTGTAAGCTAAATTCTTGTCCTAAAGTAAAATGACTGGTTTTTTAAAAGAGAGATGTTTAAGACAAGCCAGGAAGTCCAAGCATGTCATAGATGCTCTGTGTAAGTTGTGAAATGATTCATAAAAGAAAATTTATGCACCAAAAGTGAAAGTTGCTAAGAATTACCATTATAACATGTAATTCAAACTACTGAAAAAAATAGGTTTTAAGTGTTTTTGGTTAAGAGATTATAAGAGGGCATGGTAATATAAATTTTTGCCTAATTTAGAGGGTTAAAGGATTGTTTTAAATTAAATTAAACTAAAGGTTTAAAGAAATTGTGGAAGGTTTGTAAAAATTAACCTTGTAAAAGAAATTCTATGTGTGAAAATATTGACTAAATTTAAAGGGGTATTAATTTTTTTTCCCTAAAATGAACATCTAAATAAAAGCACAACAGGGTTTTCTTAAAGCACTAATCTGCTCTTTGACAAAAATTTGTAAAGGATTATAAAAGGTTTATGAAAATCTCACCTTATGGTCAAACTGATTAAGACTGGATATGTTTGTCTATGAGGTTATATTAAAAACTGTGGTTGACATTAATAGTCCACTAATGCAAGGGTGAAATGTGGCTTTCTCTCTTGAACAAAATTTTCATGTAATATTGAAAGATAATGAAAGATTTTGTTTGCCTTTTAAATACACTACCAAAAAAAAAAAAAAAAAAAGGTGGGAGGGAATACACAAGACAGATTATTTGGAAAGGTAAGTCTTCTATTAAT